TCGGGGGGGGGGAGGTCTTAAAATATTTGTATAGGTATTGTGTGGTTTGAGGCAGCCCTTGGAGAAAATGTTGATCACCTGAATAAAATATATTGTTATTTTTGTTTATATGTGAAATAAGATAAGATAGGTTGGGGAAGTCACTATGGTTCTAACAAAACGAGAAAATGCCACAGGTGATCTCCACACACCACGGCCAGCCTTAGATGAAATCATGCAGAGTTTCTTATTCATAGAGTCTTATACAAAAAATTATTCATAAATACGATAAAACTTGGTCAATCTGTATATACACCCACTCAGGTCAAGTTTGGAGATCAGTGTGATACTGGAATATGTAATGAGAGCACAGACATTTCCTCAGTTCTGATTCGCTGGTGAATCCTGGGTCATTGGTGTCATGAATTTTTTGTTATTTTTCAATTAATTATTTGTAATGGTTTTTGAAGATATTTATATAACTGGTTGGGGAATACAGGGAATTAGAATTTGATAGTAACTAAAATTTAAAAAATTCTTAACCCATCTGATCATTTGAATATAGGTTAGGTATATTGTTTACTGTTTCGATCCCACACAAGGAAAGAAGTAGGACAAAAAGGCTGAATGGACAATTACTTGTTTTCATCGTTGTTAAAGTAAAACTGTTCTTCATTAAAAAAAAATGTCTGCCACCATTTACCTTATTGACACAAAATAGCAAGAATAAATGACAATCATTTTACAAACATTCAGATATACTTTATGAGATTTATTTGACCTTTGCAGCACCTATTTCATATAGACCAAATCCAAGTCTTAAACTGTTCCAGTTATATTGACAATTTCACAGCCAGAAACTTCAATTGTTGTTTACGTCCTGGTCCCGATCACATGTAGCTAGGTGTTTTTTGTTTTTCTTAGTTGGTGGTATGTGAAATTGATATTGTAAACTTTTGTTTCTCTAAGTTTTATGCGAGATTGCACTGCTCCATCAGACAGACACAAACATGCCATATGTATGTTTTTAAGACTATGACAACTGAAATGGACATTAGTGCACTCCCTGCTTGACAGATTATGAGAAAAGACGCAGGCCGTGGCAATTAACATAACGTTTTCTGAAAAAACTTGTGAGCCCTAAAACTCATTTCAATTGCAAATGACAAGTTGTTAAAATATTGATGTGTCGTAAAGTTTTTATTTAAGATTACGAAGGTGTTAAATGGGATCTCAGATGATTCTGTGTGCACTTACACTAGTACGTTATACATCATCTAATGCCTGGTGTTAGCGGCATACATTTACAACCTCTATAAAATGTCCTGAACTTGTATTTAAAATATTTATTTTTAAACTTTACAGTTTAACTTGAGCAAGGACTCGCTGTTTTAATCAGTTAAAGATGTAATGCAGTTTTCTTGTTAGCAATCCAGACACGTATGTTTCTGAAATAAAATCGAAAATAACAATTATTCTGAGTTAAGAAAACAGGAACACAAGTATATATATATATCCTTGCTTTTGGATACTAAGATAGAATTTCTGGGTGTAAGGAAATGATTCGTCTGATGGCTCATGTTTATCCTGGGTGGTTAGTTAATCTGTTAATTTAGTTTTCCTTAAACTCATTAGTGTTGGGACTCGCTATACAGGTCCACAAATCTACGTAAAGAGGT